TTCACAGTAGACCATAGATTAGTGTTTTTGGATTCCTACAAATTTTTACAAAGTTCTTTGGATGCACTGACACAAAATCTGTTGAAAAAAGGTGTGGATTCTTTTGTATATTTGAAAGAGCAATTTCCTCAGCATGTAGATTTGTTAACACGAAAACTACCATTTCCCTATGAACATATGGATTCCTGGGAAACGCTAAGCGAGACATGTTTGCCTTCAAAGGAAGCATTCTACAGTTCATTGACTGAGGAGGGTGTTAGTGAGGATGACTATGCATTTGCTCATCAGTTATGGCGAACATTTCAATGCCAATCTATGAGCGACTTCATGAGATTGTATGTGACAGTAGATGTGTTGCTGTTAACTGATGTTATTGAAACCTTTAGAACTGGTTGTTTAGCTGACTATGGACTTGACATTTGTCACTACTATTCCATGCCTGGTTTCTGTTTGGATGCTGCTATGAAAATCACAGGGGCTAAATTGGACCTATTCACAGATGTAGACACTTACAATTTTATTGAACATTCTATTCGTGGCGGCGTGTCTGTCATCGGTAAAAAATATGCAGAAAGCAACAATGAACATATGAGCGATTTTGCTCCAGAGAAAGACAAGTCCACTCTACTCTACTTTGATGTGAACTCACTGTATGCAACTGTCATGTTACAACCGCTTCCTATAGGAAATTATCATTTCATTGAACCTGCAGAGTTCGATACCATAGACTGGACAAGCATCGAGGTAGGGGGGGAGTATGGGTACATCCTGGAAGTCGATTTGTTATATCCCAGTCATTTGCACCACGTTCATGCTGCTTTCCCTATGGCTCCAACGCATGATGATATCCCATTTGAGGAGTTATCCCCAACACACAAAGAGCTTCTCGCTCATTTTAACAATCGCCCTCTAGATAAACTTCCAAAGAAATCATCCGGTAGAAAACTTTTTTGTACCTTGAAAGATCGTTCACATTATGTGGTTCATTTTAAAACTTTGCAGTTGTATTTGAAACATGGTTTAGTGTTGAATCGCATACACAGAGTGCTGAAGTTTAGCCAGGGTCCATGGTTAAAATCCTATGTGGAACTCAACTTGCAAAATCGCAAAAATGCAAAGGATGATTGTGACAAAGACCGTTACAAATTGATGAACAACTGTGTGTTTGGTCGTTTCTGTATGAATAAACGCAAACACATAAGTGTGCGCTTGGTAACACAAAGACTCAAACTTCAAAAACTGGCCTCAAAAACCAATTTCAAACAGGTTAAAATTTATTCAGAAGATGTGGTTGCGGTTGAATTGGAAAATTTATGTGTGCATTTAGATCAACCCATTGCTGTCGGTTTTAGCATTTTGGACTTGGCTAAATATGAAATTTATGACTTTTACTACAATGTGATGCAAAAGGAATATGGACATGAACATTTAGATTTGCTCATGACAGACACTGACAGTCTCTTTATGCAAGTCCATGCCCCTCCACATGAACCCCTCCAAGACCCCTATGTGTTTATGAAACAGAATCTCCATTTATTTGACACTTCCAATTATGCTCCCAATGATCCAAAGGGTCTCTATTCCGATCAAAACAGGAAGGTGACTGGCAAGATGAAGGATGAAGCAGGTGGAAACATCATACTTGAATTCTGTGGACTAAAAAGTAAAATGTATTCCTTCTTGATGAAAACAGATAAGGATGTCATTGAGAAAAAGACAGCCAAAGGTATTAAAAAATCAGTCATCAAGAAATTTCTCAGACATAAGATGTTTACGGAGTGTCTTTTTGACAAAACACCTGCATCATGTTCTTTTCATCTCATTCGCTCTTTCAATAACGTCTTGTACACACAGAAACAAAACAAAGTGGCTTTGACCTCTATAGACAACAAGCGTTATGTGCTAGAGGATGGGATTCATAGTGTACCTTATGGTTATTCATCAACTGTATAGTTACTCGCTGCACGAAAATATGGAATTTTACAAACCCTAACAGGTAAGCTACATGAATATTATGAACATTTTTTTTTTTTTTTTTTTTTTAAGAATCGTATTGAAATTTAAAATGTATAGTCATGTCATTACAATACTAGACATGTTTGATTTATTTCTTTTCTATTTATTTTACAGGATGAGCAAACCAGCCTACATGTGTACTAGCTGCGATGGCTTTCTACCTGTTGACGCAAATGGGGAAGACCAATCAGGCCTCTTTACCTGCGTCTACTGTGGTACGAAATTAAAATATACATACCACAGGTTCCTGACGCATACTAACAAATGTGTGGTCAGGAAGACAAAACTGAAGACAGATCATGCCTGCACTTGTCGGAAGATTCATCATAATGACTGACTTCTCATCATAATGACTACCAGAAGTCAAACCTGCACTTGTCAAGACAGTGACTGGCTGAATAGCAAACATGAACACTATGTGTGAAACTACTTCAAGACTACAACGTGAACACTATGAGTGGTTACTTCAAGACTACAAAGTGAACATTATGTGTGACTACTTCAAGACCACAAGAGAACAAACGTAACAATCACAATTGCGCTCCCATTGTTTATTGTCACAAAACTATATAGAGAGTACATAGAGTGTCAATAAAACGATTCTAGTGTCCCCAACCCAGGAACACCTTTGTCAGCTTTACGTTTAACAAATAAAACATATCTATGTATCTGTGTTTTGTCTTTCTTTTTTCTTCCAATACGTTTCATGAAATGTTTGGGCAAATGTAAACGCTTTAGTAGTTTAAGAAACTGTTTATAGCCCACTGGTGAACGTCTACTTCGTGGTGACAGGATAAAAAAACGAATCAAGTTGACAATGTTTGAGTTTTGTAGCACATTATTTTTGTTTGCCACAAGTTGTAAATGCTCATCTACACGTATTTGTCCTTTTTTAATGTTGTTTTTCACAAATAACCACATTGACATCAATTTCCCAATGGTTTTGGTAGAAGTAATGTCCTTGATTAACTGGTCGGGAACTTGAAACAGGAGTTCACTCTTCTTGTTGCATACAGGATTATCAGCGGGTTGTTCCGAGTTAGGTATCCCTTGTGAATCATCATCAACTATCTCATTCACTTTCTGTGGTTGAGCTGTCTGATGAGCTGTCTGATGAGCTGCCTGATGAGCTGTCTGTTCTTCGTCTTGTTTGGACATCAATCTCTGATAATTCTCTCTCGTCAGAAGAATCATAGGCTTGCTCATTTTGTACTGAGGACAAGTAGGCTTGGTAGTTCCTTATGCAGATAGGTAAAATTGAATGGTAGGCAGCGATAAGCTCACGTTTCCTGTGTCTGCTCACAGTCTTACTGACCAAGATTCGAATGACAGACTTATGACGTGACAGACGGTTTTTATCACCTTCTGTTAGTGGTATCTTTCCAACAAGGATATTATACACTAGTGTAATCACTGACTTAAACTGTTCAGATGAAGCATGCGTCAGCATAGCTTTTCTCTGTGCAGAATTAGCTTGTTCTAACATCATAAGAAAAGCCGAATGCTTTTGCAGCAGACCACTCATGTTGATGTTGTAGGGTAGCTGTTCCACTTTCAAATGAAGTCTCACATCTTTGGTTATTGTTATTTATCTAGACACAAAAATTCGCATCTTCTTCACTGTCATCTTCTTCGCAGTCATCTTCTTCGCAGTCACTACAATCATGAGGAGGATCTCTTTGCCAACTTTCCAACAAATCTTCACCCTTAACAGACACAGAGGTACTGTGTTTTGAGTCTTCGTAATCTTGTAAAGACATAGCATTTCGAAAAATATTATTAGCCATCACCCGTTCGTTTTCACTACTGAAACATTCGTAGTCTACTTCACCATCTGTCCACATATCTTCATCCAATATGTTGGGACACAGTCTGTTATTCCACAACAAGTCTTTAATGACTTCCACCCATGAGTCATAGCGATCTTCTATTTGTAACACAGCATAATCGTCACCCCTCACTGACACTGTAAACAACATTCGAGAAGCTGTTTCTTTCAATGTTGCATCATTCTTTCTGTGTTTTTCGATAATGTTGATCAAACAAGTCCTTTCTTTCACTGCATACATTTTGTTGTTTGCTGAAGGAGAGGTGACTGTAGAATGACTAAAGTGACTTGACTGTTATATTGAAGGTTATCTGTCTGAAAACTATGGTGATTTATTCAAAGTTGTATGTGTTCTAACCTTCCTTGTTGGTTTTGGGTTCAGACACCATGTGGATATAAGCACAATGTGGAGATAGTCTAAAATGCTCTGCTAATGGATCATCTTCGGCTATCCATGAATGTACTCTCAGTGCGCATTGGAAACAGTAGACTTTGTCAGATTGACCCGTATAGATAAATCCTGCTTCTGCCATGAGCTTTGGGGGTTGCTTCATTTGTACAGGCCAACTGTTGAAAGACTTCAGTCTGTCACTAAACTTTTGCCCAAACGTAATATTATTACATGGTATTTCAATACAGTCTGCTGCTAGGTTATCAAATGGTCCACACACATCCATGGCTCTGTTCAATATGAAAGTGAAAAGGATGAGACGTGGTTGTATATTACCTTAGTTATGTCAAAACGCTCGTGTCTCTATATCCGTGACAGATACACTGTGCACACCTCATCAGAGAATATACCTGTACGCAAACGTCCATACTGTTCATCTGCATAGGGTGAGGTATCCATGACCAGATAACCGTATTTCTTTCTACTTACAGCATCTTGAAAAGATTCGGTGAAATATTTAGCCTGTCCTGGAAATATTTGCGATGCTAAAATTTTATACTCATGTGCCGAACGAGGGTTAGACAATAACACAAAATAATGTGTGTTCAGTGACATAGTTCTGTTACATTCCCCCCTTTGGATACGCTGATTGTAGGATGTTGATAACAGAAATTCCTAGATGGTGGGATAATGTGGTATATAGGTGTAAAAAACAGCTGACTTTTGCACACTTGTTGCATGAAGTCATCTACTACCAGCAGACAATGTTTATCTGATTCTAGAGAATATGAATTTAACTCCTGTTCTGTGGGGAGGTCATCTTGAAAACGAATATTGGGAATGATTGTCTTGAGCTCACTATAGACATCTTGCCACACAGCATAGCAGTAAATAATCAATTTGGGTGCAGGATCAAACATGATATTGGCTTGTCTTAACAGACGTGAAACCCAAAAGGTTTTACCACTTGATGATCCGCCTATCACGGATATGGTTGTAGGTGTTTTAAAAGGTAACAGACAAGCACTTTCATCCATGATGTATCTTGGTCTGCTGTTCAGTATGAAACTGAACTTACTCACAAGCATGGAGGGTATTTATACATAACAAAACATCATTTTGAACTAAATCTATTTTTATTTTTTATTTTTTATACACATGGTAAAACATTGTACATCATTGTCAATTAAAAACAAGAAGGGGTACAGTATTTGAAATAGTTGCATATATACTGAGATACAAAAGTATCATTCCATAGGAAGTTCCTTATGTCAAACTGATGAACAATACGATGAAAACTCCAGTGAGGTTTCAATGTACATAACAGATAATACAAACAATAGAACCCACACACATTTGAATCTAAAGATTGTATCCGTTTACTGTTGTGCAAGTATGATTGAACATAGGATTTTAGGTAACTATCAAATACAGCATCAATGGGTTCTGATAGGCTGTCAAACAATTCTGCTCTCTTTCCTTTGAAATACATAGCAACCCAGTGACGTCCTTTCTTTTGACTACAGTCTGTATTTACAATAAGTCCAACCCCTCTTCTTATCATAGAAGATGTGAGTACAGGCAAAGTATCTTTAGCATACACTCCCAGGACATGACTCTGTAAGACAGGATCACACTGAATGGTACACTTCAATTCAGAAGCTTTCATGTTTACTTGATGTACACATTCCGCGCTTTATCAATTTCTATGATGGAATTTCTTTCACTCATGATAACACAACTCAATGTCTTAGTCAAAGCAGATTTGAATTCAATTTCAAGTCTCACATTTCCTGATTTCACAAGATTGAGGTAATCAGTATCTACTTCATCCAGTTGGTAAACAAAAAGAGCGCTGCCAAGCAAAAAAGTCGTTTCTTGAAATACCATTTCCCTGGTTTTGACACCAAAGTTTCTTGCTATCAAACAGGTTGAGATAGGTGTCTACATCGTCTACACTTGTAGCTCTTCCTGGGACACTGACACCATTCACATACAGGTTGATCGTTTTAATCATGCTCGATTGAAAATTGAAAGGATTCCCATCATATTTCCCATTAAAGCTGCTACTATCTACAAAGCCTATGATATAACGATTAGCAATGGGATTGGAGACATTGTCAATGGTATGTGTTAACTGAGAAACAGGAATGCTAGTGACCTTCACCTCAGATTTGATGAAAGGATAGAGAGCATTAGAGTTGTTCTCAAACAAGGTATTGTGAGCTATAATCAGGGCTGGGTTGACATTCAGTCTGCAGACTTTGAGATAAGCATCCAATAGTGTTATAGTGAATTTTTTGTTGGCAACACCACTCATGAGACAGAAGGTAGGAGAGGATCTGTACAATTTCATAGTCATAGGTACACCATTAATCATGTATCTATCCATCTCAAACACATCTTCAAATAAGTTTCCAGACATAGTCATCTCTTGACTCAATGCAATGAACTGTGCTCGTCTCATCAAGCCTGTGTTGCTTCCCGTTTCTGTATCTGTTGATTCTATATCACTGTTCGATTCTCCTCCATCTTTGTAGAACAACTGAGAGGTTAACTGTGTAGTCTTTGCATCAGCTCCAAAATTCAGTAAGGCTTTCATCATGCTCTTATAAGCATAATGATTGTTTGTGGAAGAGACCAGCGTGTCATTCAAATAAACGGATAGTTGACTAAAAAGCGACTGAAGAAACAGGTTGACTGGGGCGACGTGTTCTTTGGGAAGCAAGGTGCTCCCATCATTGTGAGTGATCTTGAGTTTCACGTGCAATCTTGTCCTCTTCAAATCAAGGTAGTCACTACCTGTGTTAGAAATACTGAATTCCAAAGGCGCCTCATCGTTGATTTGACTCACTGGACGTACATTTTCATAGTAATGTTGTTGAATACATGTCTGAAATGGGGGTAGTGTGAATAAATTTAAAGACTCGGGAACAATCTCGTCGAAATGTTTACTGGTGAGCAGCGACATGGTGTTAACTAAAGATATCCTTTTCTTTCACTGGAGTGTACTTGAGCACACGAGCTGTCTTGGAGGGGATGTTGCTTGTTAGGCGTATCCTCTTGGTTGTGACCACCTGTTCACCTGCAGCTCTTTTTAATGATTTCTGTCTCTTCTCTTTAGCATCTGCTCTTTCCACCACACTTTGAGGTTCAGAAGTCACCTGCAGTTTGACTTGAACTTCTTTTGATGCTTCCTCAGGTTGATGAGATGTAATGAGCTTAGGTTGTGGTTTTCCATTCACCAATTGAGAACTACCCGTCATGTGTTTCTTGAAAAAATTCTGCCATTTGTTGTAATCGGGCACATACAGAGGTAAAGACTCCATATCAATCAGCAAAAGGGTAACGTCTGAAGTGAAGTGTTAGGTGAGTCTCCTCTTTCAAGAATGACAATGGAGTTCCATCACTTGCTTTTATACTAATTTCAATGTCTGGAGATTCTTTCACCATCACATGGATATTGTATTCATTAGCAAATTTAAAGTTAGGCCCCTCTCTCAGGTCTAAACGTCTCAACAATGGTAATTGAGTGTGTCCTACCAATGAACTATCACATAAGTTACACAACACATCTACATAAGGGTCATTCATATGAGTGAGATCTACCTTTCCAAAGTTTAATTCTGTCAAGCTGACTATCCAGAAGCCATCAAACATCAATCTTTGATTCAGTTTCACACGAAAATGGTACGGGGTGTTCCCTTTGAAGTAATCTTTCTTTGAGTCTGTACACTTCAGAAACACATATTTCTCCATTACAAATTTTTCAATTGACTTTCCTCCACATAAGAATCAAAGGATTTGGGCCAACCTAACCATCGAACCAAAGCATAAGTCTTTCCATTCATACGTTTCTTCTTTAAGATCTTTTCCACCTGCCACTCAATATCCTCTCCTTTATTGACCTTCTGCAATTCACCAGTATAAAAAGAACCTTTGATCATTTCATCATGAAAATCTTGGAGTTTGTACAGTGGAATTTCCTGTCTTTTAAAACGATGAGCTATTTTGAACAGTTCTTGTGTCCACTTCAAGTCAAGTTCTGTGTTGAAAGGTCTCTTCAGATATGGAATGCGAACAAGATCTCCTACTTTATATCTGAATTTCTTCCTAGGGTGCAGACTTTTGAGATGTTTCAACAAAGGTTTGACATACAGATGCTGCCAAACTTTCAATTCATTGTCCTTACTCACTTGTGCAGGTGATAAATTCGGTAGGGAGGAATGCAATGTATGATTGTAGTTGTGCACTAGTTTAGGTAAAACATCGATGTAATATTTGGTATTGTTGTGAGTCATGTAACGCGTAATCAGTGATTTTAGCGTTCTGTTGAAGCGTTCTACGTAATTACTTTTAATGTTTTCATTCCGTGTAATGGTGTGAGTGATGTTTTTCTTTTTCAAATATGACTCAAAGCCTGCTCGAAATTCTGATCCAGCATCTGTGCGAACCTTCTTTGGTTGTCTAGTTTTCAGTATTTCTTTGAAGGCTTTCAACACCGATTCAGGTTTCTTGTTTTCTAAAGGTAGCACAAAAGCATATCTGCTCAAGATATCAATAGCCACCAGCAAATATCTGATACCATCATTCTCTTTGCTATAACGAGAGAGGTCGGCCAGATCCACATCAAACATTTCATTCATAAAATTCACCCTTACTTTTAACCTTTTAAATCTATGCTTGACTGGTCTATGTAAACTATAGGCATCTTGATTCTTCACAAATCGTTTCACATTCCTCAACCTGATATGATGTTGTCTGTTTTTCTTCAATTCATCACGTAGTTTTGTTGGACCAAAATAAGCTCCAGGATTTTCAGCATTGAAATAATACTTTTCTATGGCTTTTTCTTGCTTTAACATGCTGCTCTTCTTTTCCGAACTCATGTTGCACTGTGGAAACTGTGACTGACTAAGCAATATATAACATGAAACAGCATGGGTTTATTCATTTTATTTGAACATTCACTAAAGTTTGATATGATGCATAATGATAACTGTCATGTTACAGAGCATGATGAAAACACTTTTGTATTTACACTGATAGAATATGACCTTCAAAGTCCTGTGAAACCATGTCTTCCATCATGCCGCCTTCATCATAGTAGCACATACAGTTCATGAGATCCATACAACACACATGACACTGAATTTGTCCACTATTACAACTGATGTAACGCAACTTATTGTTGTGACGACATACACTGCAACTTTTCTGAAGAGGAGTAAGTTTCTCTTCCTGATAGAGATCTTCCATGATTCCACTGGATGAATCAACAGCTGTTATGTCTGTGGTTTGTTTCTCTTGCTGTTCTATGTCCTCCATGAGATGAGTGTAATCCAACCACCAGTCGTCTATAGTAGGTTCTGTGGTAGGTGTTATGGGTCGGGTTGTGAGGGATGGAGTTGACACTGCTTCAGAATCTTCTCCCAGGTTCCTGAAAATGACAAATAAGATTGGAGAATGTAGAACTGCAAACACAGTAACATGTACGTAAATGAAAAGCTATTCCAAATGATATTCACAGTGACAAGCTATTCACTTACTTTGGTTGTATAGGAGGAGTGGATTTCTTCTTTTGAGACTTCTGCTTCTGGCCACTTTTCTGTTCCTTCACTTTCCTTGGCTTCTTAGCTTTAGCAACACGCTTGTTAGGTGACTGACGTTTTCTGTTCCTTGAATTACTATCCTGAGTGGTGGCAGCGATTTTTGAATAATCCAACATCAAGCTCATGAGAGCTGGCGATAGCGAGGGGAATTTCTGTTCTAGAGTCTTCATTCTCTGGAACATCTCTGTGTATGTGGTTTTATACAACTCACTTGTTCGCATCATCGTTTCGTGCAAATGAAGCTGAGTGTTAAGAATATCCTTCATTTCTTGAAACGTACTCGAGAGCAGCTGGTCTGTTGAAAAGTCCACATGTTGAAGGTGAAACATCTTCTGTGCCATATGAATTGCAAGCAGAGGTGTGTTTCTGAAACTTGTTCACTCGATAATGACGATGAAACTGATTTGAAATGTCTAATACTAAAAGGTATATGGTGGGATTGTGTAGAGCATGTAAGCACTGATTGGATGTAGAGTGGTACACATGCAGTTTGGTTGGTTAATACTCTACATCAGTGGAATATTTTATTCTAACTGAGGAATGTTCGTTCACCAGGGTTGAAATGATTTTCAGAGAGCTATGGAATGTTTAATGTATTCTGTGGAATGCTTTATTCTACTCGTGGAATGTTTGTTCACCCGTGACATCAATAGATTGAATGCTTTCAGAAGCTTTAAGAAACACGTCGCTGGAATGCTTATTCATGTCTTCTGGAATGTTATTGTATTCTATTGAATGATTTGACCTCTCCTCTGGAATGTTTGTTCACCGTGACGTCAATAGATTGAATACTTTGAGGATGAATCCTCTGGAATGTCTATTGTTGTGCTCAGGAATGTTATTGTGCTCTGGAATGCTTTGTGCTCATAGGGAGGTGTGCTCTGGAATGCTGGAATGCTATTGTGCTCTGGAATGCCATTGTGCTCATAGGGAGGATGAATCCTCAATAGATTGAGGATTTTTGAGGATTACTCCTCTGGAATGCCTATTGTTGTGCTTAGGAATGCTATTGTTGTGCTCTGGAATGCCATTGTTCTTTTAGGAATGCTATTGTCTGTGCTGAACGGATTACTTTTATACTACTTACCTCCTGATCTCTTGGCGCAGATCAAGAGAGTACCCGGGTTCTCCACCGGGAGTACAGCCCTTCTGACACTCTGGGTAATGCAGAAGGCTGCAGTGTTGGGGAGCCTTCATATTCTCCAGAACATTCTTGGTGGGTTCGACTAGGCAGCATTTCCTGGGAGAAGTCCCATTCGCTGTCTGGGCTGCGTGTAGAGGGGGCAAGGGCCCTGAGCTGATGATGAGCCTTACCAGCCTGACTGTGCCAGGATCACCCGAACCCTCTCTGCTGCATACTATCTTTAATCTGTGAAACATACTAATACACATTAACAATAACTCCTCCATGCTGCGAGGTGGGATGTTGTGTTTTAAGTCACGCATTACATAAAATGTTACTTTTACACTCACTCCGTGAAGACTTCGTAGGGTGAAATATTCCACACTACTACTTCGGGATAAAACCAAAGTAGCGCCCCTCGCACTTCCTCGTTCCCGAAGTACGCGTCACGTATTAATGGGTGTTGCAGCCATCCCGAACAACAATTTTCTAGGATGAAGGTGATAAACGCAAGCACTTGGTCGTGTGAATTCATGATACGTCTGCTGCAAAACCGACAATGTGGCGGAAAGGTCGATGTTCACGGGTATTTAACTCCTATTTTCTCGGGATAGTTAAATGTTATAGAACGTTAAATTAAGAAGTGAAAAATTCATTCCAGCTTTGAAGACAATAGAATACGACAACATTCGCTTAAAGAGATTTTCTCGAGGCAGAGAGTACTTGACGGACATTTTGTGTTCATTTCACCTTTAAATGGATAAGGATGTCCGATACTGAGCGGTTTGGATAATCAAAGAGGAATTAGACAATATGCATGGTCAAGAGAGAGATTGTGGTCGAGGGAGAACCTTGCGGACTATGGATATGCGCGCGGGGCTTTTTGTTTGTTCGTCGCGCGCGAGAGAGTATTATTTACTTACTGGGATGGGATTATTTACTTTGTGGGTGTGGGCAGTCGCGCTCCAGAGATCAAAGCTGTTTTCGATTTTGCTGAATATAGATGAATAACGCTGGCCGTTTTCCAGGTAAAGGGACACCTATTACTACTGACACCTATATATTGAGAGAAGATGGACTTTACAATTGCTGATATGGACAGTGTGACGGTATCAGAAGGACATAAGTCTACAGTCTCAGTACTGACACCAAAATTTCTTGTATTATTGATAGTCCGTGTAGTGCATACTTGTAATCTCAACTGTTTATAGTCTCTTACACGTGCAGGAGGGAATCTTAAAAGACATCTTTTTCTCCACAACACTCTTGTTGCTATGCGTTAAAATGCAATGGTATGTGTATTTTAATTTGGTCTTGCAATACACACAAGTAAATAATTCTTGATAATCTTTACGGTTTGCGTCCACAGGTAGCAGACAAGACTACGTGTCACACATCTTGAACTTAAGTGTAAGCAGTCAAGTGTACGAAAGAATGTACTTTGTTCATAGTATGCCAAATTAAGTCGTTGATTATCAAATATTTGAGTTTATCTTATTTAGCAATAATCATAAAAATATCAATAACTAGAGCGATTGACATATAAACTGATAAGGATTGCAATGCAAAGTCTGACAATATGTAGATAATTAATATAACATTGACATCATCTAAGATAAAAATGTGGTGATGTAAGACCTTATGATCTAAATGTTAGTTTTAATATTTACTCACTTTAATTAGAAGCATTGCTGAATGCGGATGATTTCACGCTGTGATTCAATCGTGTTGATTGTACACACAGCATTTTTATATCTGCTGCTGATGAAATGCAAAGTTGATCAGTGCCCTTTTTCAACTTCAAGACGTTTAACAGCCGATTAAAAGTGGTTTTCACTTGACAAATAGTTATCTTCTACTGAGCGCAAGTGAGACAATTTCGAGACACCTATATATTGAGAGAAGATGGACTTTACAATTGCTGATATGGACAGTGTGACGGTATCAGAAGGACATCAGTCTATAGTCTCAGTACCGACACCAAAGTTTCTTGTATTATGGATAATACGGATTCATAGAACTATCTTCCCGTTCAGTGAGACGTGGATCAGTCTCAATTATCTCAATTGAAATAGTTTCTTCAGTATTAGCTGTCCACAGGCGCGATGTATCTATAGATGACAATTGTTTTCGCTGTTCTGTCACATCTTCTGATATATATATGTGAGGCAGATGAACCATCTTTAAAACTTCGCCGTATCAAATTGTCCCTACAATATATCACAAAGTTATATTCTAATGATTCCAATCCTGCTAACACTTGCGTTTTTAATCCTCTTTATCAGGATTTGTATAATAAAAAACCTTCACTTGTTCCACCTCTTGGGATACGAATCCAACAATATATTTCTGCTGCTGGCATTGAGTCGGAGAATATATCTCCTTCCCGTCTTCTTTCTTCTCCTCCTTGGCAATTAGTGAGGCCACAAGTTGACCTAACATTGACAAAGTTAGAAAATCCGAAACTAATGAATTACAGTATAAACAAGAATATAATCAATTAAAGAATACTTATAATCCATACAAATCCTTATTTACAGATTGGTCCAAGGTTGGTCGCACAGTGGCATGTGCCACTGTCATTGGATCCAGAACAATATCTTCTAGAATACCTGATAACAGCTCTTTATTTACAGCAGAAGCAAACGCCATCTTAACAGCTCTTAAATATATTCAAAGACACCCCAAACGTAAACAATATATAATATTTTCTGACTCTCTTTCTTGCCTTCAGGCTATCAAAAATCTCTCTTGCAAACATCCACTTTTAATTGAAATAATCGAATTATATAATGATCTTGCTACTGGCCAATGCGACATCGTCTTTTGTTGGTTACCCAGCCATGTTGACATTTCTGGGAATACAATGGCTGATCTTGCTGCTAAGGCAGCACTCAACAAATCTGTGACACCACTTCTTATTCCATACTCTGATTACAAAGCTTGCATTAGAACTTACATCCGTGATCTGATGCAGAAGAAGTGGGACACCCAAGTGGGTATCAATAAATTACATGAAATAAAACCCTATATCTGTTGCGCTTACTTGGGTTGTCAGTCCAGATTTGAAGAGGTCATCATGCGACGATGTCCTTTACCGTATGAGGGGAACAAATGGATGATCGCGTGGTACACGCTAAACTATATCATACATCAATCTGTTACCTTCATACGTTAAAGGACTACCGCACATATCGATTTACACTCGTAAATGGAGCTTGTCGTTGTACATAACTATAACACAGGCTGATAATGGTAATATATTAATGATCAGTAAATTACATCTCTAAATCCTGATTATATATTTAATGATCTCATGTCCATCATCCATCATCATCATCAAAAGTATTCCTACAGGGTCCGTCCGGTATAATAATGACTTACATTTTTTACAAAGTTGTCCATCATTAGTTCATGTTAATGTTCATGTCGTTAATAATGTGTATATCCAAATAATCAAGATAATAAACCATTTATAAGACAATCAATGAGTTTGTCTACTTACAACAATTATTTAACCTTAGCTTTTTATTGTACACATCAATCAGTTATATCGGTAGTGGTCATCGTGTAGAAAGAATGAATACATAACAGGCCACCTCATTGTTAATTTGCAATGAAACTACACAACATGGCGTCCGCCCTGATGTTTATTGTCACGGGTCCCTCTGGAATGCTGTTGCGGCGTAAAGACCAACTCTACTCTTTGGTGATTATGTCGTATTATATAAGGTCGGAGCACCTGAGCTCTAACCGAAATTTGGGGTCGTCCATGTTGTGAACTCCTCACACAAGTTATCCGGGGAGATTTGAGGCGTTGTGTATTCACGAGGTAAGGTCCTTAAAGGGACTTCCGTGCGCGATAAAGCTGGAATATTGCTAAAAGCGCTATAAACCCATTTTGTTCACTGCATTCGCATTCTTCACAGTCAGTAACTTGTAAAATTCAATTGGTTCAGTCACACTCGTTGAAGACCGTGAAGGTGTTATACATATTCGAACAGAACACACTCACACACACACACACACAGAGATCATATATCTACATATTATATGGATACATGCTGTCCATTATATAATTGATGGAGTGTAATATAGTTATTTATTCCTATATGATGTCGCTATGAACCATTCCGAGGTTGAACATGTACAACGCGGATATTATTTAGTGTCAGCCATGTCGTCTGTCGAGTCCCTAATATGCGTAGAGCGCGCAGCGAGTCCCTCATTTGAGTTTTCTAACGAAGATTAGTGCTCCACAATAAGAACTCTTCCACAAGTTCTTCCAACGAGGTTTGAGACGATGTGTATACCCGTTCTTCACCCTTGTCGCGTTTAAAGTCCTGAATTAATTCGAAATATTCACTTCTCAGAAGACGTTGATAAGTTTCGAATTCTTGAATAGCACGTTCTTCCTTTCAGTTTCTAAGTCTTTTCCTCTCTGAGCACACTTCCACGGGAGTATCGATGAAAAAGACATGGGTACACACCCATTCTGGATATTGTTGGATACTTTCCTTAACTTTGGTAATAAGAAACGCAGTGCTCGATAGTTTTCCCGTTGACTGCAGAGTTTTTATAAACGGGATACTGGAATGTAATCCCCTCTCCATGATGACAAGAGAATATGTCGAGAGGGAACTGTTGAAGGTTTTGTAATGTTTTATATAAGGGTCAATAACGTGGAATTGAAAGGATACTGCACCGTTTCCCGAATAAAATTCGTCTAAAGGGTTCAATTGGTGACCGGCAAAATCAGTAAATTCTGTAAAATATTCCAACGGTTCGGACACAGACAATGCGCTTTCGTTGTACATTGTAGTTTCGTCCAAGCACTGAAGCAGCGTAGATTTCCCGCACGAACTTATTCCTTCCACAGCAATTCGAATTTGAGGATAAGCCATTACTACGGCGGTCAGGGTGCGTCGGTTTCGATAAAAGAAATGAGGCGTGATCTG